CGACCTCAGTAAAGTGTGTGTACCGACCTCAGTAAAGTGTGTGTACCGACCACAGTAAAGTGTGTGTACTGACCACAGTAAAGTGTGTATACTGACCACAGTGTGTGTACTGACCACAGTGTGTGTACTGTCACAGTAAAGTGTACCGACCACAATAAAGTGTGTGTACTGTGTGTACTGACCACAGTAAAGTGCGTGTACTGAGCACAGTAAAATGTGTGTACTGTCACAGTAAAGTGTGTGTACTGTCACAGTAAAGTGTGTACTGTGTGTACCGACCTCAGTAAAGTGTGTGTACTGTGTGTACCGACCTCAGTAAAGTGTGTACTGTGTGTACTGACCTCAGACTGTGGAGTAAGGCCGTCTTCACCGGCTACAAGCGAGGCCTGAGGAACCAGCGGGAGCACACGGCGCTGCTGAAGCTGGAGGGCTGCTACAGCAGAGACCAGGTGGACTTCTACCTGGGCAAACGCTGCGCCTTCGTCTACAAGGCCAAGAAGTAAGGAGGAGCCCCCGCCGGGTCCTGACCCGGGCTCGCCTCAGGGRCTGACCCCGCCTCTGCTTTGTGTCTGCAGGAACACGGTGACGCCCGGAGGGAAACCCAACCGGACCCGGGTGATCTGGGGCAAGGTGACCCGCCCTCACGGGAACAGCGGGATGGTCCGGGCCAAGTTCACCAGCAACCTGCCGGCTAAAGCCATCGGACACAGAATCAGAGTGGTGAGTTCTGGTTCTGGTTCTGACGGCCTCTCGTCTCGTGGGTCCTGATGTGTTCACTCAATGTTTAAACTGAAACAAACTGCTGGCTTTTATTTTGACAGTCTGCTTCCTGTCTCCACAGATGCTGTACCCCTCTCGGGTGTGATGAAGAGTCGTCTGGATGTTTGTACAGAAAAATAAAGACATCAGTGAAACCACGGGCTCCATGTTTGTTTATTGATCAGTCAGCTGATTGACGAGCAGTGGAACTGAACATGAGAGGTTCTGGTTGGTCCGGTCCACTTTMAAAGACTGGACCTCAGATGACAGGAAGAGAGAAGCTGTTTGTGTTCAAAACAAAGATGTAAATTTGTCAGCTGATCGAGGAACCTTATCACAAAATGATCCAAGTCTTGGTTTGGTGCTGATCAATAAATCATAATAAAGTTTTATTAAAGATAAACAAGATTAAACCTGAAAAACTGGTTTAAACCTTGTTTTAAATGGGGAGCACTGTCAGCCATCTTGGTCAGGTCAACTCCTTTTACTCTATTAACAAGTTAAAGGTTTGAGGTGTTAAAGCAGAGAGCACGTTTTTTCTTTTTTTTTTT